ACACAGCCGGCGCTGAAGCTGTTGTTTTTCGACCGTTCTCCGAACGACTGTTATGAATGAACACTGAGGAACAAAATAATACACACAGAAGTTATTTTTTGAAAAATTTATTTGAAAACCCAAATGTTTCTGTACTCAAATGAAATTCGCTTATTCCAGCGTTATGTGCCCGTTTAAACTCAACTAAAATTTTTAATCGATGCGATGAAAACTTCACAACAAAGCTGTCTCGAATTTGAGCGTGTTTCCTAAAATATTTGCTTGAATTTAGCATCAGCTTGACCAAAAAGTCAATAACACAATGCTAATTGATAATTTTCCTTTCCAAACAGACTTTCTCTTCTACAAAAAAACACACAAAATGTACCTTAAATCTTCGCTCGCTCGATTTTCTTTCAGCAGATTCTAGCCGCGAGGAAAACAGTGATTCATTCATCCAGGGCAAATTTGTCGCTTAATCTTTTGTCTTTTTTCCTTCAAAACGACAGCTTAGTATTTTCTTCAACTTCCACTTTTCATCTGTGCATTTCGTCGGTGTATTTTACCGTCAGGAGAGGAGATTTGTTGAATTTGCCTAAATTTTACCGCGCTAGCTCAGTTTCTTAGCGTGCACCCACGGGAAAATGGTAGTGGCTGACTGACCAATCAGAGCGCGCAATTTAGTTTTGTTATGTTATAATAAATACATACCTTCACAAATGAAGTCCACTAAATTTTTTAAACCTGCTACATGCCATTAGGGAACGCGCGTCACCGAAGCCGAAAGACTCTGGTAGAGCGAAAGTCGCCATCTTGAATTTGTTCCACCAAGAAAACTGCCAAAAACTGGGCACTAGAACCGGAAGTGATGTAATTTCGCGGAAATGAATAGGTAAGCATTTTCAGTTTCCCAGAAAACAGACGAACAAAGGGAAATATAAAATGTTAAAGATGCTTCTGTTAGCATTTTCAAGGTTTACGGTTTGATTCAGAGAGAACAGATATTTTCCCCACAAAGAAAAATGAATGGACAAAATTTAAACAGGCTTCTCAATAATTTCACCGTCAATAACGTGCAATTAAGAAAACACAGAAAAACCGAAGCACTTAACTACTGGCAACCGATTGTACACGCTGTCATTGACTCAGTGAAACGCAGAGACCGCCGCTTCGCCAGCTCGCACATTTTTCACACTGGAAGCTATTACGACGGATCAAAAGTTGGGGAGCCCGATGAATTTGACATGATGCTGGTTATGGACAACTTGGCATTGGGGGACGATGAACCGTATGAAGAAGACGATGGTATGATTGATCCTCCAATAGGTGCGTAGGAGAACAAGCAATTTTCGCCGTCTCCATGTCGAGCGGCACGAAGAATCACCTTCACCTAATACATATGCGTTAAACAAATTAAACCCATTGTGTCGAGAAAGATCTGCCGGAATGAACTTTTTCTAACTCGACATAATGACAGTTCTCAGAAATGTCTTGAAGTGAATTTTATACATGTTTAAATATAAAAGTAGCGTAAAGGCACCAAACAAAATTATCATGCTTGTTTCAGCTTATTTCGGTCTCAAAAAAAAAAGATCTGCGATCTGCTTCTATAGTAATTGTTTCGATATAGTTTTTCAGAGGCCATACCGATATTTTTCAATCGCTTTAAAAGTGATTTTATCCTTGTCCGATCGCTATAAAATTTTCACTAATGATTGCCGGACTATAGGTTGAAACTTGTCAAAATGTAGAATTTAGTAAAATCGATGTTACTATCACAAAAATAAACTTTGAAATTGATAAACGCCTAATTTTGCGCGATCTAGACCGGCTACTGTAATCCAACACTAGAAACTTAAAGTTTGGTGTTAAGCAAAATAACTTCCGTAAGAAGTAAAAAATATTCTGTATGTTTGAATTCGACTAAAACGAAAATATATTTCAAATCTTAAATTTTCAATAGCCGTGATAGATTATTTAATAAAAACGTTATAAATGACTCAAAGTTTTCTTATAAGTAGCGTCAGAATGCTGTGTAATATCATATTTTGATGCTGGGAAATTTTGGTGTATGTTCGTTCTCGCAATCTTAAAAACTAACCCGTTTTCTCACCACCTTCTTAGTGCAACTTCGTTCAAAACTGGGACTTTTAGCGCTTTCCTGCATATCTCTGAAACGACTCGAACGAATTTTTTAAAAATCTCTTCACATAATCTTCATAATGTATATAATAATGTCTAAAACTTTTATTAAGATTGATTTACTGCAACACCTTGAAATTTCAAGACAAACCTGTCCTACGAACCAGTCAAAAATCCGCTCTACAGCATTCACTGTTTTGACGTTATGCTAATTTTTCCAAATTAATGCGGACAGTACATATATCCATGACTAGTACATTTCAGTGTGAATATTGTCAATGTCTTACATTCAAAAGATGCGATAAATTCAAACTAAAATGTACTAGTCATGGAGGTATGTATAGTGCGCATAATTTTGGAAAAACTAGCATAACGTCAACAGTGAGTTTGTAACGCAGATTTTTGACAAGTTCGTAGGATAGGTTTGTCTTGAAATTTTACGATGTTGCAGCGAATCAGAGTTTCAGACCTTATTATATAATTATGAAGATTATGTGAAGCGATTTTTAAAAAATGCTTCGTTTCAGGGATATGCAAAAAAGCGCTAAAAGTCCCAATTTTGAATAAAGTTGCACTTATACAGGTGCTGAGAAAACGGATTAGTTTTCAAGATCGCAAGAACGAAAATACACCAAAATTTCCTAGCATCAGAATTTGATATTAAGCAGCATTCTGGCGCTATATACTTAAGAATAATTTTGAGTCATTTATAACGTTTTTATTAAATAATCTATCACGGCTATTGAAAATTTTAGGTTTGAAATATATTTTCGTTTTAGTCAATTCAAACACACAGGAATTTTTACTTCTTACGGAGATTGTTTGCTTAACACCAAACTTTAAGTTCCTAGTGTTGGATTTTCAGTAGCTGGTCTAGATCGCGCAAAATTCGGCTTTTATCAATTTCAAAGTTTTTGGTTTATTGTTGGCATACTAATATCAATTTTAGTTAAACAGCCAATTACTGGTGAAAATAGCCAATTGCTGGTGAAAATTTTACAGCGATCGGACAAGGAAAAAACCACTTTTAAGGTGATTGAAAAGTATCGCTATGGCCTCTGAAAAACTGTATCGAAACACCTTAAGAACACCTTTTAAAAATTAAAGATTCAAAAAGATAAAAGAGAGCTCAACCAATCCTGTTGTTTCTAATTAAGAGACGCTTTTGACTCTTTTGCGCATGAGTGAGTCAGAATTTTATGCTGACCCTCCCAATCCTTTGGGACCTCGGCATGGTAAGGTCAAACACAAAGCAGGCCAGCCCCAACCTAACGAGCTTCAAATACTTGAATGAATCAGTTGTCATATTTTCTATTTATAGATCACGCATCAGTTCAAAACTTCTTCTTGTGAAACAATGAAAACCTCGAAAAATGAGTTTTCCCTGCCCGTTTTGACAATTCAACTCAGGAAGCTCCTGTTAACAGGATAACCTCCCTCCAGAAGAAGGAATCCTTTTCAGCAGAGCTTTCTATCCAGTCAATTAAAGGGAAGTGCTCATGTAACCCACCCCCACCCCCCTCCGCGCCCTAAGATATACAAGAACAATGCATTGAGTGAAATACAATTCTGATTCAAAATTCGAATCAATCGATAAAGAGTGTTTGTTATTTCCTCAGGATTTACTCGAGTAATGATTGATAGGGGTGAAGAAATGTTGTGGCAGCAAGATATACAAGAACAACGCATTCAGTCAAATACAATTCTGATCCAAAATTCGAATCAATCGATAAAGAGTGTGTGTTCTTTCCTCAGGATTTACTCGAGTAATGATTGATAGGGGTGAAGAAATGTTGTGGCAGCAAGACAATTGTGTTAATGCACGGGGGATGTTAAATGCACAACAACTCAAAGCAGTGTTTGTAAGGCTTGTCAGAGATTCTATTAGAACCTTGGGTCAGCAGTATAGCAGGTAAGCAAACATGACAAATATCTAATAATAATAATAATAATAGTAATAGTAATAAGGAGTTTATTAAGATTGCATCCACAAGGTGCATCTTCGCCTAACAATACTATCTACAATGTGCGCTTACTTCATGATATTATTACAGAAAATTAAGATTTAAATTTCAAATGATATATACAATAAATTGAGAATAAGTACAGCAAGCTAAAAGGAAAGTCACATAATATTCATAAAGGGGAAAAACCAAGATACGATAGAAAAAGGTTTGATAAAAATATGCACATATACACTTTCTCCTTTGGGGAACATGGTTTTTTTCGCTCACCATACGAACTTTCTATAGTTAGTTTCTTGCCTTAGCTTATCGGGTAACGAATTAAAAACAATGTCGCTGCCGAGTCCTGAAAAGTGTCGCTTTCAGTTGGAATAGCTTATAGGCAATAACAGTATGAAATTTAAGGCGTAAGTAATCAGACCAAGCAACATCGTAAAAGGGCTTTAAGAATGGATTTCAACAGTGCCAGACTGGTTTCTCCTTTCAATAATGGGTAGCCAGTTCAATTTTTGCTAGTCCTCAAAAACAGAATCCGTCCGCTCAAGTACTTAGCCCGTGCATGTTGTTTGAACTCTTTGCAGTCATTTCATTTGATAATCTGGGAGGGGATACAAGATGACCCACCCGTAGTCCAGTTTTGACATCACTAATGACTCCACTATTAAACTGCTTGGCATATATGCAAACATGGTAGGGTGCGAGGTTGTGTCATTTCCGGAGAACCGCCAATGCTGTATACCAGGATGAAAGAAGTACAGTCACGTGGTCAACCCTTGTTAGATATTTGTCCCTGTGAAATCCCAGTATCGTAGCTGTAGTGACACGTTCTAGTAGCTTCCCATTGCAGCTCACAGCTGGAAAGTAATCCTGTAATGCGTCAGCTCCAGACATCTGGAGGGTGGAAACAAGCATCCACTTTGTTTTAGCTTCATTCAATGCGAAGTTTTGATTCAGATGAGTAATCCCCCAGACGTGATATTGCGACATTTAATTCCAAAACCAAAACTTCCATTCATTCACCAACTTCCAAACTTCCATCTCCAAACCAAAACTTCCATTGTTTATACACCTTTTCACGGTAACAGGATATTCTTTATTTCAAGCCTGGGATTCGGGATATTAAATCAAAATGGGGATGAGATTCGCGATTGAATTAGCATTCACACAAGAGAGATGCCGGCAATACCCATCACAATTACAGGATTGAGCAAAATTTTTCAGTTAGGGTGACAGGATTTAAGAGCCCTATTGGGGATCCTCGATATCACTGTATGTCAATTACAGTCATGGCTTCACTGCAAAGTGTTCAACATTTTTATTGCACTTCTATGATCTATGGGAGTGACAGTAACATTGAACAGAAGATTCCAGAAACATTTTCTACATAGTTGCTCATTTAAGACAGAGAAAAGAAATAAGTATTGCACATCAATTGACAATTTCTATCATTTTCACTGTCTATATTCTTACAGACAATACTGTAGCTCCTGTCCAATCAGCACCCACATATTCTACATACATTGTTAATAATAATCTTGTGTCTTGCTTCATCTTGGGAAGTCTATTTTATTGTTTTTAGTTAAGGTTTTATAACAGTGACTATTCACAAATGAGGCTGTAAGTACCCCGGGAAAGAAAGGGCTACAAATAACTTTGTAAAATTACTGGAGGTTCTATTTTCTAGGTGCTTTTGATAATGTTGAACTTGTTTAATTCAAGGCGTTCAGTTTTTCTACATTAGGACATGAACAAACACAGGTAACCCAAGCTCGAAATATGAGCATCGGCGGGCATCGGCATTGTTGTGTAACATTCAAAGTATAAGGATTTGTATGGAAATAAAAAACCTATCGTTTCTGTAACCTACGAAAATGAAAGGATTCCTGAATCAATAAAAAACAGCTTACCTTACTTAAAATGTGTGTTACGTCTCTCCTGTGTGGTCCGCGGGCCGATTTATGGCCGTTTTATGGGTTTTTATGTAAACAGTTTTCTCTCTATACAAAGGTTAAACCTTTATACACTTTAGTAACAATATTATTTGTGGAACCATGTTTTTAATGAGTGACCACCCTTTCCTACACCCAGGGTGGTTGCTCATAGACAGTTGACTGCATCTTTATGTAAATGTTTATTAGTACAGATCCTGAGCACTGAATTAAAAAAACTTCATGGAAGTCTTAAGGGACTGATGTTACCGGTATACACAGTTCTTTCGTACTAGTAACGAGTCTACATGTAATATTAGGGAATGTGTTTGGTACGTAACTGTAGGTGATGTTATTTGCCCCTGCAAAATCTGCAGGGATGCAATATACGTGTCTCAGAAGATCCGTTTAGTCAATTAGAAGCAAAGGTCTTCCCATAAAATCTCTCTGCAATTTGTATTAGGAATAATTATCACTACCAAGAACCCATTCTTGACCTTTCTTCCTATATTTTGATTATCATCAGATGCATAGAAGTTAAGACCCATGGTCCTGCAGTAACCCTAGAGATAACTAACAGAAATAACAGAAGGAAATATTCTATTGACGTAGTGCTTGCCATCAAAGATAAACACTGGCCTGACGATGCAGAGGAATGGAAGGATAGTGTGCGAAGAGGTTAGAACGTTAACAGCTTAATATTATTTTTCCTTTACAACTTGTATGTGTATTGGGCACATAATAATACTGAGGGTGTTCTTGTAAAATAATGTGATGTTGTGGGTATTGATGACAGAATTTTACACAGTCAAGCAAAACGTTTGCTCTTACAGCATTATTTTTTTCATCTGGAAGGGAGGTCTGCAGTAACTGTTACTGATACAAGTGAAGGCCGTGAGCCAGTTTTTTTTTTTTGATAAGTGTCAGGGCATCAGGGCCCCTATTAAAGAGCCCCTCAGTTTTAATCAAAACCTTCATCACTGTACAGCTGCATACATTATGAACCATGAATACAATTCCAGAGAATACAAGAAAACAAGGTGGCAAGTATAATTTAAGGTTTTATTGGAAGCTGCAGACTTTAAAAATTATTAAGTCGCCTTGTTAGCTCACATGGGAGAATTCCAGTCTACTAAGCAGGGAGCTTTGAGCTCAAACCCCGGCCGGACCTCCAACCAAGGTCTGGTGAGATCATGCTGTGATTAAAACCCTTTCTCAGTTCAGATAAGTACATCATTGGACAGTGACATTAAGCCATTGGCCTTGTCGCCTTCAACCCATGACATTGTTCAAAAGGATAAAGGATGCAAGGCTGCTGCCCAACAGGTGCCACAGGTCTGCGTTTGGGCCACCAGAATAATTATTTTATACAAGGAGCCCAAACAGCCAATTTTATCATTTTCAAGAAAAACAAAAATGGTGTAAATTTTCTCAAAGCTGCAATGCAACATAATGTGGTGTCAGTGAGGAGATCTGGGAAGCTATCATTTCAGTTTTCATTGAATTCCTGGCAGTCGTAGACTAGGCTCAAAATAGTTTCAAATAAGGAACTGAAGAAACCTTAGAGTTGCCTCTACCTTTTAAGTGCTCACAGACCGCATAGCAATGAAGGTAAGCCTGAAGTGTGGTAACTCACAGGGACAACTCACTCTGGGGGAGTAGTAGGATCTTTTTTGTAAGGTTGTCGAGTTGCTCAAGAAAGATGTCGTGCATTTTTCTCCTTTTGCCACATTAAAGCTAAACCTGTCCTGTACATTTTTTTTCACAGAAATACTGTTTGAAAATAACAAATCAATTAATTCACTGATTGCATTAATTAATTTTGGGCTCCAAGAAATGAGGCTGAGGTTCCCAATTTTTAATTAAAGGAGCCTGAAGGTCTTCTGAAATTTTTCCTTGGGTAGCAGCCTTGGGATATAGGCCCTGGTGTCTTGGTGTATAGGTATCTGATTTTTGTTGTCTTTGGTCTGGTGTGGGGGAAGGTGAGAAAATCAAAATGAAATAGAGAAAAGTTTGAAATCAACATAAAGCCTGACATGACATAATCCCTGTACTACTTTTAGTCACTTTCTTTGATACAAACTAGAGTGCATCTAAAGTGATTTTGTTACTATACCTCTGCGTCCTGCATCCGTGACGCATAAAAATCCCCAAAGACACACAATAATTCATGGCATGCTTCCCGTAGGACGCAAAGATTGATTGATCGATGATCGATCTGAACATGTGTATTTGTAGAAATATCTCGTTTGTGTAATTTCTGTGGCAGCTATTATGGCTGTTGTTGTAATGACGCATGTTTCTTTTAGCCTTTGTTGTGCTTTTTAGAAGGACTTTATTTTGATTTCAGAGTACACTGTAGTACAGAGTTTTGGAGTCTGTCTTCAGATTAATAGTTTGGTTTCATAAAAGCCCCAAGCATTTTCAATTTCGGACTTGTTTTTTTTTTTTTTTAACTGGGACTCACTGGTTCTGGATTGGGGGTCTCAGGACTCAACATAACTAATGTTTTGCAACATAATCACTGCATCTAGTTTTGTACTACATGTGTATTTTTCTCTTCTCTTGTGCCAGTCTCAACTAGATTTAAACAAAGTTGTAGTTGTTGTTGTTGTTTTAGTTGTTTAACTCAATAATACTTCATTCAGGTTGGCCTAACAGACGCCTTATACAAGAGATCTGTCAAGATGGCTGTTACCTTGTTGCAAAGCAACCAAAAGGAGGGAGGATTCCTGATCAAGAAAAGCATTTTCTGTGGCTTTATTCTTTTGCAGCAGCAGAAAAAAAGTTGTTACGTGAAGGTAGCCATGGAGAGGCGAGCTCTTGTCGCAAACTAGTTTTTCGAATTTTAAAGGCTCTGAAAGAGGAGCTAAACTGGCAGCCTCTCAAGTCTTTCCACCTTAAAATGATGTTGTTTTATGAGTGTGAGGAGAACCCCTTACAATGGAGCTCTGAACACATTAGTCACAGATTTATTGGCCTTCTTAACAGATTGGAGAATTGTCTAAGGCACTCAAATTGTCCTCATTATTTCATAAGGAATTTTAACTTGTTTGAGTTCTTTCCTCGCCAGAAATGTGCTGAATTGGCTGACAGCGTACAGAGGGTTAGAGACAATCCCCAAAATTATCTTGAGTGACCCTATATTGACGAGCGTTAAATTACAGGTACTCTACATGCATCAGTATCGGATCAGACACCAATGATGGACACTTTGTTTTGTCAAAATGCATTGAATTAACTTCTATCATGCAATACGTGAGCCCAAAGAATTAAATATTAAATAATTCTGTTTTGAGCTGCTGGTAAACATCAAGATCACCTTGTGTTACTTATGTACCACTACTTTGATGTACGCTGTTATAATTTTAGCAATGAACACCTTTGTCATAAATGGCTTGTATGTTAAAGCAGAAAATGTACGCATAATATTCAAACGACTATACTAAATTGCAGTGTGTGTAAGATTTTCACTGGAACCCTGGCAGAGTTATGTCATTTAAAGAAGGAAAAGAATTCAATTAATGTCAGTAGAACCAAATAATGTTATTGTTAAAACCTGCTTCAGAAAGAAGAAATTACGTGTACAACACAGCAAATTAAAAAAAATACCGAACAATACTTTAGCAAGAGAAATAATATAATTATTATTAGGCAGAACTCAGCAATAAACTACTTGTTTGCGAGGACCTCTCCAATCAAAGTAAAATCTGGTTGTGTATGTCTTTGGAATGTGAACATGTTTGCTTACTTTAGGCTGTGGGAATACCTCCTTCCTAATCTGACTCCTCAGCATACCCTGGTTTTTACACTTGAGTATAATTCTAACATAAGCTTCTTCAGTTCTAAAGAGTTCTATAGCTTCTCTTGAGTGTAGCCACTTGTCTTTAGTGTTGGTAATGTAGTTGTCAAATCCTCCTGCCTTGTCAATACATCTTAGTGCATGCGTACTGAATTCAAATCTCAGGATTTTTCCAGTATTTGACTGTAATATTTCCTTTTGACAACATTTGGCTTCTAAACTCGCTTGGTTCTGTGGAAAAAAGGCAATTGTGTATTCGTTTTCATACAATACATAATTTTTATCTAGTCTAAGTTTTATGGCAGCCCAGTATACACCTTCTGGTGTCTAGTTCACTAAGCACTGGACACTAAATGAAATGGCCTACATAGGCAAATGAGTTTTAAGTGATGTTATCCTAAGTCTTGGATACAGAAGTGGATTGATGTAACCAACAGAAATGGACTACCGTAGCTAGAATAAAGTAAATGGCTGCGTAGCCTGTGCTCACACAGCCAACTTATAGTATAGGCCTCACTAATGCCCTGGCATCAATACTAAGCTGAAACATTTTTAAAAGCTGTAAAGTTAAACCAGGTTGAAATGTGATTCCTTCAAATTCATTAAAGCTGCCCAACGATTTTTGTCAACAACAAATTTACAGTCACGCAGAATTATACTTATCAAAAGTCTGAAATAGCTCACTGATGTAACTGCTTAAAATGAAATCTGTGAGATGGCTGTATAGCCCCTGTTCACACAGTCACCTTGAAACTATACTATAAGCAGAAATCACCTAGGAAACTAACAGGTGAATAAAGTGAAAAAATTAATATACTGTAAGATGACGGGATAACCCTGACTCATGTGGTGAGAATTCTACATATTACAATGTCACTGCCCATATGTCCTAAACGTAAGTATCAAATGACATACATGTCCTATACACTCGAGCTATACCCAATCACAATGTCCAGCAAGCCAAAGTTGCCTGAGGAAAGTAGTGCCCAAGTATGTAGATGCCACATGCCAAGGGACACAGCAGGTGCTCTTGAGTATCCCTGCACTAGAGATGTAACTAATGAAAAACTGATCTGCAGAATGTGTACAACTTTTTGGAACATTTCTGGCATACTATGTTGAACTGAATTGAGGAACCAAAGAGAATGCAGAGCTATTGACTTTCTTAAGACAGATGCCAAGGGAAAGCTGAAGATGGGTGGATAAAGCTGGTTGGTACTCTGCCCAAGACCGGCTTCATTGAAAAGGTGTCCATGAAGGGGAGCTGCATGTGTATACCTTAGCACCTGCAATAAAATGAAAAAACTATAAAAACAACTCCTTTTAAAAAGCCAGAATGTGCTACCATTTAAGAGAAATAATGTATAACCAATCAATAAATCAAGCAGGAAACAAAACGAATTAACAGTAATTTCCTCAAAAACAACGAAGCTAAAAGCAATGATGTGACGTGGAGAGTGAAGCATAAAGCAACACATTATGCTGTCCCATCACAATAAACACAGAACTATAATTTCCACACATATCAAAAAAGGGGAGCCAACAAAACCAGAGATTAAAATTAATGTAGCTGCATGTAAACCAAAATAACGGATTGCACGAATGAAGACTAAAAAATAGACATAAAAGGTAAAAATATGAATAGAAATTCAAACCAAACAATATTTGCATCTGGTTACCCTAGACAAAAAAAAAAACAAACAAACCAAATAAGCAGTACAAACAAAGCAACAGGGGCCTAAAACAATGAGGACCAAAGCCTCAAACTGAGGAACGTAGCCTCAATATAAAACAAAGAGGACGAAGCCTCAAATCAATTATGAGGACGAAACCTCAATATAAAATACGAGGAGGAAGCCTCAAAATAAAATATGAGAACGAAGCCTTGATACAACATGAGGACAAAACCTCAACAAAACGAGGACAACGCCTCGAATACAAGTGGAGGAACAAAGTCTCACATTGAAAAAAACGGCCCAGAAGTAAGCACAGCGAGTAAAGGAAAACAAGAGAACAAAACGATACACAATGCAACAGGATGAAAGCACAATATGCAGAGAAAACTGACATATGAACAGCAAACGATAAACCCGATATGCTGATACAGCACACTGTACCTCTGAGTTAACTTTGTTAGAATGGTTGCAATGTAATTTCTAAAACCTTGTAGAAGTGTTGAAGGTATGGTACATAAAATTTTTGGCCTGTGGGGTTTAATAACGTGTCGTTTTGTTTTGTTTTGTTGTCGTTGTTGTTGTTGTTGTTGTTGTTTTGATAATAATTTTAATTATACACATAAGCTGAGTCCAAAGGTCAAAAATGCTCACACGTGCAAAAAGGTAAACTCAAAATAATTATGAATAAATAAAGTGTCTTTCCAAATCATAAAACAGCTAAGATCATTAACAAAGAGACCCAGCACCGGGCCGGTATAAATAAACATTTCAAATGAAGATCGGGCGAGTGTTACTGATTTTAAATACAGCCCCAGTTGGCACCAGCGATACAAGTAGCTGAAGGAACACGAGGTACAACCAGTTTGAGGGACAACGAAGTGCTACGGACACCAAACGGACTAGCATACACGCCAGTGTAACTGAAAACATTAAAAATTAACGGTCGATAGGATGTAGAATTCGATGTTACAAATAAACAATGGCATTTCATTAACATAAACGACCGCAACGTGTATGAATTCCCGCAATCAACACGACGATCATGTGCAGGAACATATATCTGTGCACATCAATACAGTACCGAGAGTAAGCGGTGAGCCATCGGGCAAAAATCTCCTACTTATCTCAAAGAAGAGGTGATGCTAGGTGATGCTAGCGCTCGGTAGGTAAGACCCAAGAAGAGCAAGAGAGACTGCTAACTGACTGTCTCGTAATGCGAGGAAGGAAGCCTTGTGCCTCGCTTCCGTGACTTACATAACTCGTGACATAAATGACACTTTCGTGACAAGTCACCCGGATGACTTTGCTGGTAGCTGGAGAAATACAATATTGATCAGTCACGTTCAGCATAAAACTATTTATTTCTTCCAGAAATAAATCTCATTTAGATAAATATTCCTTGTAGGAAATCTCTGCATTTGCAGAAAACCTATATGCTAGGTAATAAAGCTTTTGGACGCCCTAAGAACTCTTCATACACCAAAATTCTGTACTCTTAACTACTGTACGAAACTTGCATCGTATACAGTGTACAAGTTGACCGTACAAACTAAGCTCAAACGTCTTTTCAATGCAGATTGTCTCGTGATGAAAAGCTTTATCAAAAAGATTTAGAGGGAGCACTTTAGGCTGCACAAAGACAACAACGCTTTCGGAAACATTTCAGTCACTCTACTCAGTGTTGTCTTGAATGAATAGTGTTGTTGTTGTACATCTTTCATGGAAGTTTTATAAGCAATTAAACGTATTTAAGTGGATGCTTCGCTTTTAACCTTGGCTAAATCTATGATCGTCACGCGAACACTCAACAAAGAGCAAATGTGAACCAATCACTTCTTGTTTTGTTTCGTCGAACAAATCTGAAAAACTTGAAGAACAATTTTCTAGGAATTGGATTAAATTTCTTAAACAGTTTCTTATTTAAGATACATCGTCATGGAAACAACTTAAACAAAAGCCAATCTGCATTAACATTTTCGTTTGGCACTGAATGAACAACAACTTAATCTACGATCCACTTGTAACAATCCCAGGATTTGCAGTGGTTTACCCCATACATAAGCAGTGCAATCAATTTTATATCTCATCCTTGTAAGTATTCCGACTCTTTAGCCATTGTTTAAACGATTGGTAAGATAAAAGAAATAATAGTTGCTATGTGGTGTTGCAGGAACGTACGCTGTATCAAGTATGGGAGGCAAACAGAAGTCATTGCTGGTCATAAACGACTCAAAGGATGTTCATCTTAAACTCAAGCTCTATGTCCCCGGTGATGTAGTTTGCTGGATACCACACACATCCAAGGTAATCAAACCAAAAGATAAACTCTTTTGCACCAGCAAATGGGGTAGCAAGCTCGAGCTAGTTGCGCGATTCACAAACAAAAAGCAACCGAGTAAGGTTCTTTTGAAACCACAACAGTGGGTTGGGAAAAGATATGTAAGGATCACGGAATCTCTTGACGTAATCGAGGATGACCTCTCTAATTATCCAGAAGAAGAGAGAGAGGGCCTCCGAAAAAAAAACAGGGATGAAGAGTTAGACCGTACTGATGGGAAACGCAATTTTTACAGCATTTTAAGACTAGATATGGATAAAGTTCGTGCCATGTCAAAAGACGAACAGGACAAAGAAATCTTGAGAGCATTTCTTAGAGAGATACAGATATGGCACCCCAATCATAATGAAGATGGCGATACTGAAATTGTCCTTGAGCTGATATTGGCGTACGACACTTTAAAAGATCGAGAAAAACGTGCAAGGTACAACAACTTGGCTGACTACGACAAGGGGTGGCTGTCAGGAAAACGATTCAAAGCTGTTTTTTGGCCTGAATGTGAGACTATGGCTCAAAGACTGGCATGGCTAAAACGAATGGGCCTACTTGCTTTATCGGCTGGTCTTGCAGTCGGAGGCATCGTGTCTGTCGTTCTTACCGCCGGTTTCACATCTCCTCTGTTTTTATGCACTATCGCGGGAGGGATACATTCGTTGCGCGAATGTATTAGCAAGGAGGCAGTCGTGGATGGTTGTGACGTTGGAAAATGGCTTATGTCAACAGGGGTTGGATATCTTCTCGCCTTCCTTCCCGGTGGAGCAGCAATAGGAGCAGCACTCCTGGAGTCTGCAGCACTCTCAGTGGCTGAGCTGACTGGAATTAGAATTGCAATTTCTGCTGGATGTGCAATTGTATCTTCTCTTGGTACAGATGCGAAAAAACGATTCATCGACGGCGAGAAGATCACAGTGAAACAGGCTCTCGGTCATGCAGCTTGTAAATGTGCCGCAGCTGTTGCAGCAACGCTTGCAGGCGGGGCTGTTGCAAAAGCTATGCGTCATAGCACGCAAACTACTTCGAAAGCCGCTAATTTCGTGCAAGAAGTTAAGTACACTGGTGAAAAGGCTTCGCCACTGCCTGCCACCAATCTTCAGCCAGCAATTGAAACAACTAGCTATAGTGTAAAGAGTTCTATAATAACCAGCAATCTTGAGGGGGCCACTGATGAAATTGGTGAGCAAAGTCCGTCCGTAACCGAAGCAAAGTGCTTTCTTAAGCACACTCCAGTCGCACCATTAATCAAAGGAGTTACAAAAGCTATGATTGCGCAAGCTGGTGAGTTTGCTGAGAAGCACTTAGACGATGCTGACGAATTTCAAGAAACGATTTCTAGCCTCCCCTTATATGAAGTTGTGATTGAAAAAGCTCTTGAGCTATCAGATAATTTGGAAAATCTTAGCTCCGAAGGTGAGGACATCCCAGATGGCTCAGAATGTACCCGAGAAGCAGTGGACACACGGGGCCTTAAAAAATACAAAAATCTGAAAACAACAAGTGGAATCTTTACGTACATTTCTAAAGGGTGGTGGTATAATGGGTCTTCGAAAATGGTTGTTAGCTACCTTCTATACGGGCAAAGATTCACAAGGGAGGTACGAGGAAATGGAAAACAGATTGAAATCCCTTGCCTTGCAAAGAAAATTGATGTGCATTTTGAAATATTTGGGCTAACCTGGCGTACCATTTCGAGATATGATCGCTTCAAAAGATGCTGGTTTGTACCGTACGAGCCACATGTGTTTCACTTCGCAACTCCTGTAATTCGCACGTTTACCATCGATGGTATTCTGGGTTGGGAAGCGGTGATGAAAGTAACAGACGAACATCACAACGAAACAAACGAATTATCGTGAACTGAGTTCCAGCCAAAGTTTTCTCTCGTGTCTTCGGTCAGTAAAAGGCAGGACAACTTTACAACTGTTAACCGTCGGCTGAAGCATGCGCAGTTCTGTAGGCAAAATGGATAGAATTATGATAAGTAACGCTAATATAAACCAGAACGGACTCAGCAAAGGCGTATTACATCTGAATAGGCCTAGGGAAGGTAATGGACTTATTACATGGAAATTTTGTACATTTTTTAAGGAATGATTGCTCTCCTGAACCTGTATTACTGTATTGTATTACTGTATTGTATTACTTGCATTACTGAATCGAAATCGTCGTTAATTGATACAATATTTACTAACTGGAGGTTAGTCTGTTCAGGCGTTTGGCATATTGCCATTAGTGATCACAGCCTCACGTATATTTATATAATTATCGTAAACTATCCCCGGAGTTTGCTTTCAAATGGCGTTCGACTAAATAAAAATTGTAAATTGTAAAATCGTAATCGAGAAAAATTTCGCATCGATATTTTTCGACTGTATTGGTCCTGTGCCAATGACGACCTGAACGTTTTGTCGGCTGACTGCCATGGACTGAGCTTCAGTTTTTAGTATTGTGAACAGTCGTGCTCCAATCACAACAAAACGTGTTAGGTCAGGCTCTGAAGGCTCCTTGGATCACATCAGAAATGCGGAAGGGTATCAGCCATCGCGATACAGTCTACTCTCTCTTAACGGACACCTCTATAAGACGGACACCTCTGTAAAACGGACACTTAGAGTTGGTCCCTGCCTTTCTTTACTCCCTTTATTTGACTCTCCATAAGATGGACACCCCCATAAGACGGACACTTAGTGCCGGTCCCAAAGGTGTCCGTCTTAGAGAGAGTTGACTGTATTGCTAAATGACGGAAAGCTGTCAAGTCTAACGATCCTCGAGACTGGGCTGTGTTCTAAAGGCTAAGTAATAGCCTGTTATGCTAATTGCTTTATTCACGCTGAGTACGCGTTACAACAACTTGGTTGGAAAGATCTGATTATCCAGCGTCAAATTCAAGAAGCAGTTTAATGGTGTTCAAATGTTCCTTTACCAAGAACTAACTACGTTTAAAAGAGCTTTAGCTATAGAGGGGCAACTCCCTGGATTTGTCTACCCTGCAATTTCTTGATCGTTTTAAGCAATTGTTAATTAAAACCTTCATTTTGTAATTAAGTTAGATACATGGCTTTCGTGGAAAACAGGCCTCGTCAGTTAGTGTATTAATTATGAGTAGTGTCAGTATTTCTACTGAAGAAACTTTATAGATATGTATTACTTCAAGGAACCCAAAAGTGTGACCGCTTTTGATTTATTCACATTCTTTCGAACAGATTTAATCCAATCAGAAGCCAACCGAAAACTGACCTCGAATCCTGATTTGTTAATGTCTGCATGAAAGAATGTGAATTAATTAAAGGAGGCCGCACTTTTGGGCTCCTTGCTGTAATTGTTATAAAAGGCGATCATTTAGTTGTGTTTCATATTGTATAGATCTGAGAGATTCATTGATTGATCGATTGAAGTACAACGCTCCAAGACCTTCAGCAGAACTATTTTCCTTATTTTGTTGATTTAAATGTTTTAAATCAACATAAAGTCACTATATTTGTAGTTTTGTAGTTTTTGTCAATTCACTTTTACAATCGGGGAACAACAGTTTATCATCATGATATCATTTAAGAGGCAAAAGAAAAAGGGCATGATGTAGAATAAACTCAGTGCCAGCTTTTTATTATATCAATACCACTAGATAGTTACAAAATTATTTTTTGCTGATATATGAAAGCAAAAGGAGAGTGATAGACATAACTAGATAAAGGGGAACTAAATGCCTCTAGTGACAATTAAAAAAACTGCCAAATGGCAACTGAAGTTGCTTGTTGTTTTTTCCTTTTTACTTTGTTTTTGCCAATAAATTTGTAATTTTAGCCAATGTTTAATTAGCTATGCTACATGCAAAATGTACAACAAAGGTAACTCTGTTAGCTCCCTGGACTGCACCAGACCACACTGTCCATCGCCCAGCAGCAATATATTGAGATTCCCACTGTGTTCAAGGTGGCTGAACACAGTTTTGCGGGTGGTCAGCGGTAACTCGCGTGACGGTGCGTGTTTTAAAATTAGACAAACAAACATGGCGGCGAAAAAGCAAAGGTACACAGAAGACGATTTCTCAATATCTACTCATTAAAATTTTTTTGATATTTGATAGAATTTTTACTTTTATCGTATTTTAAATCGAAATAATGAGAACTTTAAAATGGAAGTTGAACAGACAGTTATATTATTGATTATCTAAAACCCCATCTGTTAAAATTTGGTCAAACAAGTTTCAGATGGTAATGATTAATTATAGTAAGCTGTGTGCAAATTTATAGGAAAATCTAATGAGCAAATTTTATGTAAACTGAGCAAAGTGAAATTTTAAGGTTGTATTCAATCGTTCATGTAGCCATGGAAACTACGAAAACGTCACATTTTACCTGTCAATCAAAATCTTTCATCAGTATATTTTTCACTTGCCAAGTTTCAACTTGTGAGCTGCAACCATTCTCTTGCCATGATTTGGCAAATGGCATACACTCACAAACTGCCAAAACTGTGTTTAGCCACCATAATTCAACCATTTGAGAATTCGTAAAATATTTTATTTTGTTTGTTGGGTACGTTAAATGGAAAAATTTTGACAGCTTGACAAGCATCCTTAAATCTTCTGGAAAATATGTAATGGCAATCAGTTTTGATTAAACATACATGTGGCAAGCCTAGTTTATTTTGCATAGTCTTCTATATAATACATGTATTATTTAGGAAGCTTTGTTTATAAAAGCCTTGGTTTTACTTTTAAAACAGGCTACTGACATGTAAATAAAGTGCATACTCAGCAGTTAAACGTTGTCTTCTCCTCTTCTGTCTCAAGTCTTTCGAAGCTGAAAGCTGGTTTCGGTCGATGTCAGATAGGATTTTGTGACGTTTTGACACTAAATAACATCGATCGAAACCAGCTACAGCTACGTTCCCGGTGCTATTACAGATTTAACAGTCTTTTTAGCAATATAAACTGGAAATGTCAAACATTGACCGTTATGTAACTCAAACTTGCAGGGACCGATCAAGTGAGCGGAAGTGGAGGGATCATCAATCTCGTACCCAGAGTCTTCAGGTTTTTTGGTCATGGGGACATATATTGTACCGCTTTTATCAAATTAACTTATAACTTCACTCTTTCTGATTGGTTCCTTGTTGCCTTGTAGCTTTGTTCTCTGTTAACTTGTTGCTCTGTTTCCTTGTTTCCTAGTTACTCTGTTACCATATTACCTTGTTACCTTGTTACCTTGTTACCTTCTTCCTTTGTTCCCTTGTTCCCTTGTTCCCTTGTTCCCTTCTTACTCTGTTACCTTGTTACCTTGTTACCTTGTTACTCTGTTACCTTGTTACTCTGTTACCTTGTTACTCTGTTACCTTGTTACCTTGTTACCTTGTTACCTTGTTACCTTGTTACTCTGTTACCTTGTTACCTTGTTACCTTGTTACCTTGTTACCTTGTTACTCTGTTACCTTGTTACCTTGTTACCTTGTTACTCTGTTACCTTGTTACCTTGTTACTCTGTTACCTTGTTAC